TAATTAAAGTTTTTTTGTAACAGGTTAGCGAGAAAACATTTCGACAAGTTTACAAGCGAGATCTTGCTGATTTATGAAAATCCTGAAAAGTTACACTGCGGCGCTATACCATGCCCAAAATAAGCAGTTTGTGGAAAAATATTGAAAGCATGTGTGCTATCATACCCTGGATTCCAGAGCCTTCGACAATAAATAATAAATTGAAACATCGCGAAGGCTCTGGTTCAACGGGAAGATTCTTTGATTAAACTGTGCCAATCACAAAACAGAATTAGTGGTTTTAGTAATTAGTACAGATTCTGTACTAACAGCACTAATTCTGTTCTGTGATTGACACGGTTTATAAATCAAAGAATCTTCCTGTTGAACCAGAGCTTTCGCAATGTTTCAATTTATTATTTGCTGTCAAAGGCTTTGGAATCCAGGGTAGTGCTATCGTAACAAAAGAGGAACATTTGTTTGCTTTTTGAAATGAAATAGAACATATAATTATATCATTTTAATGACTTGCTTCCGATTTTCAGAGAGGTCTTGGAAACATTACTAATTGTTGATACTTTTGAAATATTCAGCAACTTGCCGATGAAATTTTTATAAAATATTGCCATAAAATATATAACATTCTAAGGCTATATATATATTGATACTATTGATACTATAGTGCTGTTCCAACGTACAATAATGTGAAAAAAAGAAAAGAAAAAAAGAGATGAAAAAGTTTTTTCATCAAGTGAGAAAAATTTCCGGAGAAACTTTCCAAAATTGTTGTCGCTCCAATATTGTTTAGGTCCATTTTTTAAGTATTTTATAAAGCGTATGCTATGTATGTGCTAAGAAGCTAGTTTTGTTGGCATGTGGAAAGCAAAAGTAGCGAAGGTAAAGAGATTAAAATTGGATTTAGTGCGTATTTTTGAAAACATTTTACCACCAAATATGGTAGTCCCCCCCCCCTCCCCAGTCGATGACACTTGTGACGTCAGGTACATACGGGACTTTGGGGGCGGGTTTTGCCGTTTTGGCGGGAAAATCTGTAATGTTTGGAGAAGACAAGATGGCGCTGGTTACCTCGTGTCATATCAAAGGGCATTTTTGTTCACAAATACCCGCTTATTTTACGTTATAGCGACTGGTTCGTTTTGGAAATTATAACTCAATGGACGGGGAAAATGATTCTGTATTAAAGAGAAAGTGATGTGCAGTTATTGTGATGTTATTTGTTGTGAAAGACGGCCCGAAATTTCGCTACTTCGCAGTACTGGTTTATAAAACATTTACAAGCAACAGCAATTGAACTATATGACAAAGAAACCAATGTATACAAGCCAATCAAGTTCTTCAGTTTAAAGGTCTGTTTACTTTTTAATAATTAGTTCATTTAGTTGTACATTAATACGAAGTACTGGAACAGTACGCCTAATCACAGAATAGGAAGGTATACCGCGTTTACTCGTTTAAGCGCCGCGGCGCTCTTTAAATTTTCAGAGCTTCAGATGCGGCGGTCATTCGGGGGCGGCGCTCTTTAAAAAATATTTTATTTGTGAATTATGACAAGAACTTTTAACTATAAAATAGACAAGTTTTAAAAGGTTTTCGTTACTAAATGTCCCCATTTTGACACTGTTTAGTGCGGCGCTCTTTTAAAAAAAATGATCTCAAATGCGGCGCTCATTCGGGGGCGGTGCTCAATCGGGGGCGGCGCTCAAATGAGTAAATACGGTACCCATTGAACTAAAAATAACTGGAACAATACCTCCAGCCGGAAATGTGAAGCCATGCCCAGGCATGCCCACTGTTGTCATGCCCAGTCTTTTCACGTAACGGAAATGAACGCGGGTTTTTTAAATTTCCAAAACTGGGTAAAAAAATGCACTAAAACATGATTTAAAACGACGTAAAATGCACCTACCAGTACATTTTTTACAATAAAAACATCCTTCAAAACTCTAGAGTAAAATATTTTTAATTTATTTGTGTAGAATTCATAATTAAATTTCCTTTTTTGAAAAAAAACGTTGAGCGAGGAGTGGAGCTTGCCGTGGTCTAATCATAAGTATTTGTGTGAATTTCCCTATTTTGCTCATTCGTTTTCCAATTTATTCGTCTGAAAGTTAGGAAAAAAGGTATTCTAACAAGATCAAACTACCAACCACAGTTTAATTATGTTTTGTAGTAGAGTATTTATTAAGTTTTAAAGGTACAAAATAACAAATATAAACATTAAAGACATTAAGAAAGTTTTTTTCGCGGACAAGTATTTCATGTCGCGATTATTCACATTCGGCAAGAAATACACAGAACAAGTCGTCAACGAAGGCAAACAAAGTGATAGATACAGATTAAATAAACTTATCTTGTTTAATTAACAATCAATGAAGTTGTTATAAATATATGTTTAATACGTTAAGATAAAGAATTACTTATCTTTCTCAAGTTTCATCTGCATATAAACGTTCCAGTCATTCAAATATGCACTTGTTGTCTCCAATCAGTTACTTTCTTCCTTGCAATTTTAGTCGGTAGGGTTCAAGATATTAAATACACTTTTAATACAAAAATATAGCTTAAAACCCTAAATAAACGACAATTTTCGATCCATTCGTCCGAGAAAAAACATTCAGTCACTTCGCCATAATGGTCTCGCGAGAATGTCTCGCAACACAAATGCGCGTGTCTGGAGGTAGAACACACACGGCTGGAGGTAAAATTTGGCTTCATCCGATCATAAGCCAATCCTATTGGAGGTAGCGTTCCAGGTATTTTTAGTTCACTGGGTATACCAGAAGCGTAACTCAAGCAAGTATTTGTCCGCATTTTTACAAGCGATTCGTCATCAATCACGCCATCCTGGCTAGTACAACCAGCACTTTGTACCTACCAAAACCAGTGAACTCTCTCTCTATATATATATATATGGAATGATAACAGCGAGTGAAAAGTGAAGCCGACAAAAAAAATCACGACATAAGTATTCGTCATTGTCTTCGTCATCAACTGTTCAAGAACAATCACTTACATATAAAATTTGTAATTGTTTTGAAAGTTTTTATCACAGTTTTTATATCTTTATTCACTTTTAACCTGAAGATGGAGTTGTACTCCGAAACGTAGTTATTAAAATAATTTTTTACTAAGCCCATATGGTCTAATTTATATTCAAACACACGTACATATTCATTTACATTTTGCTGGCAGGCAAATTCCGATCACACAATAAATTCTTTAAAAAATAACTATAAAACCGGTAAACTAAAAAACAATTCAAACAATCGCGAAAAATGGCAAAGTCACAGTTGCAAGTTACCTACCTGTGAAATGAAATTTTCCTCGCAAGAATATCTCTTTCCTTGTGCATCCAGAACGACACAATATATTTGAAAAAGCCTATTCTTTTCTCCACACAGGGAAGTTTTCCTCGACTTTTTTCTGACAGCAAACTCAATGCAGTAAATTTTAGGAGCAAAACAGTTTGCTCCTAAAATGTATTGCATTGAATTGGCCATGTTTTTAATTTTTTTTTCGTGATTGCGTTCAAATTTATACTGGCCGTGCAACGGTTTGCAAGAGGGGGAATGAAACTGACGTCCAATCCGCGTGAAAGACTGGTATCGAGGCTTCATTGTTTTCACAATCAAATGACTGAATGTTATCATTCCAGATATATATATATATATATATATATATATATATATATATATATATATATATATATATATATATATATATATATATATATACACAGGGGCGCAGAGAGGTTGGCGGGGGCCCGGGGCAAATATTTTTGGGGGGGCAATCGCAATGGCGCAAGCAAACTATTTAGAGTAGTATCGCCTGAAGATCGCTTTGAAAGCGTGAAACACTGTGTAGCGATTAATAAAATTTTAAGATCATAATTAGTATATTTTGCTCTATCAATTAAATTTGTTATTGAGCACTCTTTTTGTACAACGGACAACGATGTATTATTGTATATATATATATATATATATATATATATATATATATATATATATATATATATATATATATATATATATAGTTTTTCGTTTTACCTCAAAAAACCACAACAGTCTGTTTCATCCGTATAGGAATCATTAGGTGGTGACCACCTGATGATTCCTATACGGATGAAACAGACTGTTGTGGTTTTTTGAGGTAAAACGAAAAACTATATTACGCTCTATCTATATGGTATTGAGCACCGTTTGTGTTTCGTAAACCAAAATCTTAAGCTATATATATATATATATATATATATATATATATATATATATATATATATATATATATATATATATATATATATAGATGACAAAATACAATATTCGTATCAGCCAGTTCGACATTTATATACAACAGAATAGCTGGCTACGATCCGAGAGAAACCAATACTAAAAATGTACTAAAGTAATAAAGTTTTAATTTTCGACTGAATGTCTCAGCCTTCCTCAGAAATAATATTACTAATAATTTCTAACGTATATATATACACCAATAATATGCAAATATTACAATAGTGATAACTAATTAAGCTTAGTGATAGACAAAGAAGTCACTGTTGCACAAAATCATGACTATCATTTAACCCTCCCCGATTAGTCAAAAGGGTCCCAATCCAGAAGTTTTCACATTCCAACAGATTACCACAACGCTGATCAATCAGCATAAATTTCAAATATGAATGATCAGCCCCGTGGCAATCCAGGAAGTGATTAACAATACTACAAGTTCTGTGCCCACTTAATGTGTGACTTGTAGTTTGCAAGGCGGGCCTTAAAATTAACAGTAGAACCAACACCCTGCAAACCACAAGCCAAACATTCGGCAAGATATACCACTGCCTTGGACGTACATGTAAGCGATTTACAGATTTTAAAAACTTTCTTGGTAATAACGGAACGAAAAGTGTGCCCTTCTAACAAAAATTCTTACAGCAGTCACAACGCTTTGCTGTACAATTAAAACAACCGAATTGTTCTACTTCAGTATTTTCCTTGCCATATGGGTTGGAGGGAGCCAATAACTCCTTTAGATTTGCGTTGCGCTTAAAAGACACACGAATAACCTTCTCGGGTAGAATATCTCTAGCCTTCTCATCACCACAGATAATGGACTTGTGATGTCTATTTATGATTTTTCGTATGTCTGGTCCACGCGGATTATACTTAGTAACTAAACAACAATATCCTTCATTGGACTTATTCTTACTTTTGCGTGCATCTTCCCTAGAAATTTTACCTACTTCCCTAAATTTATCTAAGACATGTTCTTTTTCGTGTCCGCATTCAATTAAATAATTGGCATATTCCGCACTTTTGGCACGAAAGTCCTCTTCCTTGGAGCATATCCTACGTAGTCTAAGCGCTACACCCTTTGCGATACCCAGTAGCTGTGATCTGGGGTGACACGAATTGCCATTCAGATATAAATGCGCATCGGTGGGTTTACTATAAACCGACGTTTCCAAACGACCTTCTTCGATCGTAATAAAGAGGTCCAGAAAACTCAAAGAACTCCCGCCTACTTCCATAGTAAATTGTAAATAGGAGTCGAATGAATTTAATG